TATGACGTTCGAAAATGATGAAAGAGAAGTTGTAACTCCAGCGAAGGAAAAATTTAAGAATTTTCTAATGAAGCCAAAAATAAAACTCCCCCTCTCTCCTCCACAACAGCAGCAGCCTCGCATTGCCTCCGTGTCCGAACTAGTTTTCCGAACGTATTTTGCTAATTTTCTCTAACACTGGATTGGAGGTGGTAAGATGTATTGGATTGAAATGTATGTATCGTGCGAGGGAGTCATGCTAAGCCACCTCGAGCGGTAGGCGGTAACAGCTTAAGGTAGGCGGTGATAGCTCAGAATAGTGGGACGGGCGTTACTAAAGTGCACCTACGAGTAATGGGCGTGCTTTTATCTCTGTGACCACCCATCCACAAAAAAATGATAGAAGGGGTTTGTTGGTCGCCTAATCCCGACCCTACCTTCGAGTAGCCGCCATAAATGCAAAACGGCATATGTTTGACACCGCAATCTTTGAAAGAGGTGAACTTACTGGAGTACCCTCTTCGACTGCATCCAGATTATCTTCCTTGTGAATGTTACGTCCAGGGAAAAAGAAGAGCATCATCTTTTCAAAAAACCGATAGGTGAGCTGGGCTACCATCGGCGCAATATTTACTTCAAACAATTCCTTCACGCATATTCCTCCAACTGAAAAAAATGAACATTATTTTTCAAGTGACCATTATGAGAATTGACATAATAGATATACTGCTTCCTAAGGATGAGACAGTCGTTACTGCAGGCATAGCAGCACACGTGCATGCCCTCGAAATCATCGAAAGTGGGTTTCGATGCGACACGTGCTGATAACCATGAGCCTGCAGTTGCGACAGGCCCTATCGCAGGATGCAGGTTGTAATTTAGTGGTTACCTGGAGCCATATCGCGAACCATTAGTCTTATAGAAGGTTGTCGAGTTTGAACCCGCTCATCCCTGGAAACGGCAATGGTATAAAAGCTATTCAAAATCGAGGCAGTAGTTCAACCAGAAAAAAAGATCATAAATACAAGCGTTATACGAGAACAGAAATAAACGACCAGTCAAAATAGATGGAGAAAAAAATTACCGATGAAGTGTATCTCTATAAATCGTATCTGGAAGGAGGTTCGTCACTCGCAATGTTCCAACCTGAACCCATAGTAAAAGTTAAAACAAACAAAACATACACAGAAGGAAAATACCAGAACTAAGCCGTAATATGCATTTAATTTCCCGGGGAGCTGCCAGACTAATGACACAAATGTCATCAAGAGTATCGAAAACCAAACGTGGAATCGTTTTTTCATGACCATCACACTTGCTCTACTTGTCTGTGGACTCCTACCAAGGAAAGAGTTAGGAAACGGCTTGATGCATTTTTGCACAATCTTACTCGAATGAATGCTCCCGAACTATCAGATCGCACCGTGTATATCTATAAAAGACATTGTATCTATAAAAGGCATTGAGAACATAGGGACATACTAAAACAAATATCTTAAACAATTGCACTTAAAGAAAAAAGATGATTAAAAAGACAAATTTCGAATGAACGCATGCATACTGAATTGTCCAGGTTTCCCAAACAGTGTGAGAATCAGACTTTTTCCTTTACTGTCTGAAAGATCTTCTAAACTAACTTCCATCTAACAGTAGAACAAGACAATTTTCAAATTTTTTAACGCTACTCAAATTAACCGAACAATAAACATACAAGAAGTTCCTGATCTGTATTTGAGCAATAGCAATTTGTCCATCACATTCGGTTAACTTCCAAATGCAGTCCTCGAAACACACCTGAAACAAATCGATTGTACAAGGGCTTAGATTAGGAGCAATGTGGTCAATGGCGTGCGAGAGAGCCTCACATTTACAAATGTTATAAAAGCAATTCTAATCAGATTCTATAAGCCGAAACCAAAGGAGAAATATCATGCATGGACGCATGTTAAGGGGCGTCGGCGCCGGAGGGCATGAGGGTGAACACTATCGGTTATGTGGATAGTTACGCGAACTCAGGGATTGCCACGTGACCAAAACAAGCCGAGTGCATATGCATCCACAGAGGCGTTTGAAATTGAAGCAAAAAAGATAATTTCTATGGGGAGGTTGCTGTCAAATTAATTTGACAATAGTTAATAATTAATATTAAATTAATTATTAACTATTGTCAAACGAACACCTAGACGACCGCCGGCCCGACGGTCAGACTTCTTCAGGAAAGTTCTGAACGAAGGGAATGATCGGCTTCGTGTCCGTCGAAGCGAGGAGGATCCAACATGGACACTTATCACGACGGACAGGGAACGAATGGAGACGTTTATGGGCGCGGTGTGTCTCAAGTTGGTGACGATTGGAATTTCAGACTAATTAGTGCTGCCTCGCGACTAGGCCCCAGCTACCTGTGGGCGAGACGCGCCGTACATGTCCATAACGGTGCAAAAGATAGGCGGAAGGGGGAAGGTGATTTCAGATAAAATGTGATTATTCATTCATTATTACTACTTTTCAATCTTCTGACTCCTGTGAACAAATCAAAGTAAAATTGACGTTCATATTTATTATTATTATTACTCTTATTATTATTATTATTATTACCATTATTATAATTATTATTATTATTATGTTAGTAGTCCTCAACTCCTTACCACCCACTTGCACCAATACCTTTGAAGTGGGCCGCTTAGCCAATTAGTGTTTAGGTAGTCAAGGCGAAATCTTCACTCTCATATGCCGTCGGTGATGTGCGGGGGGTACAGGGGTCTACGGCAGCTGGAGACTTCTGTGAAGAGAAATGCACAAAGTTCGATAGTCATTAATCTCCTTTTCTACACGCATGGCTCTTTTTTTTTACAGAGTCGACGAAATTTGCCAGGAAGAAACCACCCCGATCAAATTGCTTCGTATTGTAGAAGGATGTCTAGATACATATTTAAGAAGTCATATAGTTGCTTGTGAGAGCTGTACTCATAATTTTGGATTTTTTGTGTTCTGCTGCACAATTGACTTTTCGAGCTTAGAAGGTATTACTAACTATAATATAATGAATAATATAACAATGATAATAGTAAGCAGTAATAGTAGTAGTAGTAATAATATTAAATATGGACATCAATTTTATTTTGATTTGCTCACAGGAGTCAGAAGATTGAAAAGTAGTAATAATGAATGAATAATCACATTTTATCTAAAATCACCTTTTTCCTTTCCGAAATCGCTATTCGCCAATCTTTTGCACCGTTATGGGCATGTACGGCGCGTCTCGCCCACAGGTAGCTGGCGCCTAGTCGCGAGGCAGCACTAATTAGGTGCCAAAATTTGAGGTCACTTCGCACCTCGTCGCGACGCAGCACTAATTAGGTGCTGAAATTTCCAATCGTACCACTTGAGACACACCCGTTTATGGGCGCATGCTCGAGCAAATCGACGATCAACGGGACGACATCTGGTACAGGTGATAGCTGGTTGCTATTAATCCCCAATTTTTCGGAACGTTTGTGTTGTACGTAGGTAACTTGAGCAGAAGACAAAACGATTAAAAAAATTGTAAAAAACCAGGACGTGCCTCGAAACCGTCGAGCCACAGCTGCCAGCATATCTTCTTCCTCCAGTTTGCTACAGACAGTTGCACGTGCGGCTTCTACTTGATGCTGTTTGTAGCAACTGAACGATTTCTATTCATATTATTCATAGCCTCAATGAAGGCTAAGCTAACAAACCTAATATAGATCGATAATTTATCGGAGACTTCCAACTGTCTTGCTTTGTTTTCCTCCATCTCGTCAACAATTTCTTTTCGCTTTTGTTCATCGACATTTCCATTCGACTGGGTGTCCAGATAGAATAGTTGTCGCTCTAGTGACCGTACTACGGAGACGATTTCGCGAAGCTCAGACTGCAACACTGCTCTAAGGCTGTTGAGAAATGTATGGACTAAAGCTTGGAATCCTTCAAAAATTACACAATAGCGCTAGTCAAATAGGACTGTGGCAGGAGTGGGTAGTGGCAAGTGGAGCTGTTGACCACCCTCGCGGTTAAATCAAGGATTAAGTGTCATGGGAGCCAGCCGAAACCTCATATTCTTCAAAGGTTGCTAGATTAATATCAGTTGCTTAATTTTCCAGATACTGGAATGATAAAACGCTGAACTGCAGATCCAACCACTGTGACTTAAACAGCAGTTGACCCCTGCAAGTCACTGCATTAAAAGGATAAGCCTCATTCAGCTGCCTGTCACGACACTGAGCTGAAGTAGTATGCGTGACACATACCGAAAACGGCTGAACGCCTAACCCATTGTGCTTTAATTGGCAAAATGTCATTCAAAAGAGGATTCCACGATAAGGTCCAAAGAGAGGTAAACTTACCTTGAAAAGAGAGGCGTATTCCGTAAGGGTGCGGACCCTGATACGCAATTCGCAGCGAAGTATATGCCCCCAAGCAATCTAGGATGGCCTTCCCGCGGCGCTATCGGCGCGACACGCCCGCCGATCACTTGCCGCAGGCTCTAGCCGTTTAGCAGAGAGAGCGTAGCGTTGAAGAGGGCAGCACCGATGAGAGTCGCATCAATGCGGAAATCAACGGGCAAGAAGGGGTCTCATTTCTTAGGGTTCTGGGCCGTTTCTCAGAGTTTTTTCGTCATTTCCGCACCATTGAACACCTTGGCCATGATCCCAGTGTGCTCCCTCTAATCGTAAACTCCACCGTCAACTCACACACCACATCAATCCATAGTACATTTGCGGTTTGTTTTTGATGAGGTGGAAATGGGAATCAAAGGATATTGCGGCAAAAAAGGTAGGATGGACAAATCCTGATAAAAAGCTTGGAAGA